GTCAATGACATGAGACAAAGTATATGTGAACTGCTGTATGGAAAGTGAATTTGCTCTGTAAATCTTCACCCAAATAAAAACAAATAAATTAAAAAAAAAATAATAGTAGTTTTAAAATAGACAAAACAAGCAAACTAAAAACCGGAAAAAAGAAAGAAAAAAAAAAAAAGAAAAAAATCAGGGGAGGGGAGGGCAGGGCACCCAGGCCCTGCCTGAGCACACAGACTGGGATGGAGTTCCTGTGGGCCCATAAGGTGGGTGGGAGTGGGGGATGGCCGCACCTCCATTCACCAAGGGGTGTGGGGTATAAGAGTAACAAGGGGAATGTTGCACCTTTTCAGTCATCTAGGTCCGGAGTGTCCTTGGGATTATTGGCAAGCAGAACCTGTTTTTAAGCCCCGGGAATCTCAGAGAGTGCTGTCTTTTTAAATATCCAAAATGGTCAAGCTGCTTGTAAACATTCAAAATGGCGGCACCTTCTGGACAGGCAAAAATCCACAGCTCAGCCTGCCTTTCTCTTCACTGGTGCTTTACATTTTATCCTCCAGCCACCAGAGCAGTCCTCCATGCAGTCCCTGGCTAGCAGGGCTGAATTTTAGGTTAATTCTCAGGTCTTATCACCACTTGGCACTCTCCAAGCTGACTGTGCCGTGCCATCAGGCTTGCACAGGATTGCTGCCAGACTGCAGCGCCATATGTCGCCGTTTTTGGTATTTTCATGAAAATTCTTCTGCTAGTTGGGGTTTAGTCCCCTTCTGTATCCTTCCCTTCTAGGCTCAGATGTCCATGATTATCTTTTGTGTCTGTGTTAATTGGTTCCCCTTTTCTTTGTTGAAGAGGGTCTGTGCAGTCTTTTTCTCTATTCCGCCATCTGACCGTAAGTCCCTCCAGGCCAGCATCTTCAAATCTCTCTTCTTCATCATCACATCACCTCCTCTGTAGGGGTCAAATCTTCTTCAGCCTCCTTGTGACATTTGTGGTTACATTTAGGGCCCACTCCAGAATAATCTCCCCATTTCAAGAATGTTAACATAGTCACATCTGTAAAAGCCCCCTTTCTGCCATATAACGTAACACTCTCAGGTTCTGGGGATTAGGATGTGGGTATCTTTGGGGGCTATTTTTCAGTGTACCACACTCCTAACTTTCACAGCCATCTCTACCACCTGTTCTCTGTGCTATAGCCAGTGTGCTTTTTTTTAAACAGGCAGATTAGATCATGTTACTACCTGCCTTAAAACTCACAGGGGCTCCTACTGGGCTTCAGGAAAAAGTGCTAATTCCTTGATATGACCTGTGTTTCCATCTCCCTCTCCTCCACTTTTCCTTTTCATGTTATGTTCCAGCCATGCTCAATTCTCTCCAGTTCCTTGGAGGAGCTTAAGTCATGTTCTCCTTCTGCCTTTGTATGTTCCTTTTCCTGCAGCTCTTTCCTGCCTTTGGTTTGGCTCCCTCTAGTTCCTCTTCCAGTTCTCATTTAGACTTTGGACTTCACTTCTTCCAAGAAAGCTTCACTACTCTTGCGGGGTCAGGTGCCTTAAAATATCTGTCAAGATGTGTCCTCACTTAGCACAGTGCCTGACAAACAGTAGGTGCCTAATATTTACAGATGAGAATACCCAAGGGAACTTGTGTACCCTAGCAAGAGTAATACTGCATCAAAGAACAGAAATCTGTGTGAAACAGTCTTGCTGAAGAAGATTGATTATATACTTGAATGCCAGGAGTCGTTACAGATCTTTATTTTTAAGCAAAAGTAAGGATTATGTAACTATGAGGTTGAAGATAATGTTTTCATGCTTATTATTCTGTTTTCTTTCAGACAATCCCTGTGTTTCTCACTTTGCATAATGTAGCTGAAGTCATCATCTGTGGGTATCAGAAGTGTTTTCAGAAAGAGGTAAATGATAATACACAATGACTATTTCATCTCCATTGCTTTAAATGTCAAAGATGCACTTGTTTTATGGCCCAAATTGGTGTCTAACTTTTGCTGACACCAGTTGCTGTTTTGACTGCCTGACAGTGGTCACTAATTTCAGGGATCATGGGTTTGACATCCCTTCAGTTTATCAAACATACATGGGAATGCTTTTTAGTGTGAATGGAACTCACCACTTTGAGGAAGTAAGAAGATGTCCCAGGAAGAGGAAGCAGCATGTGTAAAGGACCAGAGATTAGAAGGAACTTGGCAGAAGCTCTGGTGGCGTGGTGCCTAAGGCCTTTAACTGCTAACTCCTCAGAAGGAAAGTTGGGGCAATCTACTTCTGTAGTGATGCTGCCTCAGAAACTCAAGGAGGGGTTGCTATGAATTGGATCTGACTCAGTGACAGTGAGTTTGGTTTTTGGCAGAATCACTTTGGGCTAGTGTGGGTGGAGCTTTATAAGAGGAAGGGAGGGGCTTAGGATGAGACTGGAGATAGGGGCATGGGCCTTTAGGCTGAAGTGTGGAATTAGGCATTTATGCTGAGTGCAGTGGGGAGCCCACAGTCAGATTTTAAACCCCAGAGAGAGACTGACCAGATTCAAGAGCTCATCCAGCTGCTTGTGCACAAGAGAGGGTTGCAGGAGGGTAAGAGAGACTCTGTGGTGACTCCATTAAGTCTATCGCAGACTTTAGACCAAATCTAGGCGGGGCTGGAGTAACATTGTCTGTACTCTTCTTTATGCTACCACTTAAACTGGCACTTTTCTCTGACATTTTACATATCACACCATCTTGCTATTTCCATATTATATCATCGGCTTTCTCCCCTGCCCACACACATTTTTTTTTTTTTTT